AGTCTTATCATGGATTTTTTCCTTGTTTGTTCTTTGCCGTATTTGGTTTGTCTTCACTTTAAATATTTGATTTTAATAATTTGCCGTTGTTTCCATCTTCTTGTGGATTGGATTGTGAATCTATGATGACAGTTTATCAATGATATTATCGTCATCTCTATATAAAGCTAGAATGCAATTAACATAGTGGCTATCACAACCCGGTCGCGTGGATTTCCCGCTACGATTCGCGTTGAAGCGATCCATTTTATTATAGTCAACTGCTCGCTCGCTATCGATATGTTGTTATGTATTCACGGCTGTACGTATTTAAGGTTGAGATTGGCTCGTACGACCTGTACCACCTCCGCGATATTGCGTCAATAAGATACAACACGTTAATTCGAGGTTGGGGCGCACGATCACATTTTGCGTCCGGGCTTGTCCCATTTACAAATAATACGCCATCAAACGAGTAATCAACTTGTTGTAAACGAAAAAATACTTTACCTGACATACGCCAACTGCGCCTCGTGTTAACAACCCGAGCCTACGACGACGTAGATGTGTGTTCGTTGCCAGTATATCTCTCGGTCGAGTGAGCCGAACAGACCGGTTGTGACGGCCTCTCACTTTGCAACTTCGTGTACCGCTTGCCGCTTGCTGTGAAATTAGGTAACCAACAAAAGCCACTCGTTGCACAAGACAGGCAATGAACAATAAAGAAATCACTCCCACAAAAATGAAATTGAAACTAAAAACTGAAAATCCTCATTCAGATGTTAAGTATGACGTAACTAAGGAGTTAGATATGCCAGCTGTCTGTCACGTATCTGTTCCATCTAGTATGGCGCCTGTGAATCAATCGACAAAATGGTATTCGAGTAATGCCTTGAAAAACGGATGAAGAATTTCCTTGTATTTTCCGGTCCCAGTGAGGCAGACAATTCGACCTTCACACAAAGACAACAACTACTAACGACCTTGAAATGATACCGTTTGCAAGATGCATTTGAACTCATTACCTTTTGAGCACCTAAATAATCATGTGTTCCTGCATTGGTGACAATTTCAAAACAAATAAGCGACAAGACAACAATAGAAGCGGCCATAGGAGCTCAGATGATGCGGGCCAGACGGCTGTTCACCGAATGCCGAAGTATTCCACGACGACGCGCACTTTATATCGGCCGTTTGTACCGCAGAGAAAGCCGCGCCCCGCGCTCCCCCGTGCCGTGCCGCCTGCGTGCTCTGCTGGTAGCGGGTTTTTTCCTCGTTAGATCCATAATTCCATTTTATACTTTATGCCTCCGCTGTGTTTATCAAACTTAACTTGAGTATTGAGACGTCACCGCTTTGTTTAACTATCGGCTTTTTACACGTTTCAGCATGATTTGATTAGCGCTGCTGAAAGTTCTATAAATTTAAACACTAGACATTTCTCAGCTTCACGAATAAATAAAGGGCGCATTAAATTTATAGTAACAGTTCTGACTAAAAATAGGTACACAATGTCAAGGTCTCGCATTCAATCGCGTGTCATAGAAGTTAAGGAACAGATATTGAATTCACCCTCGACAGGAAGAGCAGGGTTGCGTAACCTACGTTCCGTGTAACTATCGGTTAACACGTTAGCGGCGGGAATTACCGGGTTATTGCTCTACCAGTCTCCGCTTCGCGGCGCACTCTTTAATAGGTTAATTGCCTGGCATTGTGGTGCTGGCACATATCGTCAGCCGCGACCTTAAAGCGGCTCGCGGCCACGCATGTAGGTGTGCGCGTCACCAAATGAGATACGCCTGGACTGACGACCTTACTTTGTTCTTTCGCTGATATAACAAACTTCGAATTTTCGATACCGTGTTGTTTATTTTATGGTACGTGGAAATCTTCTATCACTAAACATGAAATAACAACGATCAAGTTTTAAGTCATGTTTAGTTCCCACTGATACGAATCATAAGTGGATAATTTTATTTACACTAAGTTGAACGTCAGAGATCTATCTATTGGTGATGCGGCGGAGGCCGTCGTGGGTAGAGAAACATGTTTGCTTGTTTGTGTTCCACATAAATAATGTTATTGTGCCACGAAAAACGGAAGTACGAGCAACTTAAAAATAAAAACGGAATAGCACTTTTTCTGGCATTGAGAAGCGAACCATGAAGCCGAATACTCCCAGTGGCCTCAATATACAAATTCTCTGAAATTGTCGTATTATTACTTCTTAAATGCATATTTTTACCATCAACTTTATATGAAATTGCATGTTCGAATAGTTATAGATAGAACGGCAGTTTTTGCGACGTTGTCATTCCAGATGTTGAAAGCCATTTGCTCACTTGTGATTTGCGCACACCCAATAAGTACTCACCTCACACAATCACAAATTCACTTTGTGATATCCTTATATAGCGCTACTCACTAAGCGTAGGTGATGGTATAGCAAGTTAACTAATAGTGAATTCTTATATATATTCAATTTTGCAGCTTATGGAAGACAGGAGGCAATTTAAGGGTACAAATCCAGTACGGTATAAGCAAGCCGATGTCACCATTCGAAAAGAGATTGCGAAAGCCAAAAATGATTACTACAACAGTAAGTGCGCGCACTTGGAAGATCTTCTTCGTAAACATGACAGCTTCAATGCGCACAAGCACATCAAGGAAATGGTTGGTCATAGACGGAAATCAATGAATACCCTGACCGATGCAGATGGGAATCTCATTCTTGACACCGATGGCAAAAAGAGAGTGTGGTGTGATTATGTTGCAGAGATATTTGCGGACTCATCAAGGAACATTTCAACGATCACTGATCGGACTGGTCCAGCTATGTTGAAATCTGAGGTTTTACGGGCCTTGAAAGCTGCTAAAACAGGTAAATCACCGGGTCCTGATAATATACCGATCGAAATACTAAAGTTACTGGAAGAAGACCAACTGGACGTTCTCACACAGTTCTTCAATAACATCTACGAAACTGGCAATCCTCCTACTGACTGGCTAAAATCCACATTCATCACGATACCCAAGAAGCAAAATGCCAAAAAATGTGGAGAGTATCGTATGATTAGTCTGATGAGCCATGTACTAAAAGTATTCTTGAACATCATACAGAATAGAATACGGCCAAAATGTGACGAACAACTGGGTGATAGCCAATTTGGATTTCGATCTGGTGTTGGAACCAGAGAAGCTCTTTTCGCTCTCAACGTTCTAGTACAGAAATGCAGAGATATGCAAACTGACGTCTTTTTGTGCTTCATAGACTACGAAAAGGCATTTGACCGAGTTAAACATGATCAACTTTTCAGCCTTTTATGTGACATTGGTCTTGATGGTAAGGACGTCAGAATCATTCGCAACCTGTACGAGAAGCAGGTGGCTACGATAAGGGTCGAAAATGAGGAAACCGACCAAGTTGAGATATGTCGTGGGGTCCGGCAAGGGTGTATCTTATCTCCGTTGCTTTTTAATGTCTACTCAGAGGCTGTGATGTCAAAAGCTCTTGAAAATCTTGAATTGGGAATAGGAATCAACGGCAGGGTCGTTAACAACTTGCGTTATGCGGACGACACTATCCTTATTGCAGCATCAGAAGCCGATTTACAAGCAATTGTGAATAAGGTTAATGAGTATAGCGAGGAAGCTGGTTTGTCGATAAACATAAGCAAGACCAAGTTCATGGTGGTCTCAAGAAACCCGCATTTGAGTTCAAGCATATGTGTAGCTGGGAAACAACTAGAGCGGGTACGACAGTACAAGTATTTGGGGGCTTGGGTAAATGAAGCATGGGAATCTGATCAAGAAATCAAGACCCGGATAGAAATCGCTCGAGCCTCTTTTAATAAAATGAGGAAAGTTCTTTGCTGTCGTCAACTGAATATAAAGCTCCGAGTCAGGCTACTCATGTGCTATATCTGGCCTATCGTCATGTACGGTTGCGAAACGTGGACCCTGAAAGAAGACACTACAAGACGCCTACAGGCATTCGAGATGTGGTGTTACCGTCGCATGTTACGCATTAGTTGGACGCAGAGGGTCAGGAACGAAACCGTGCTTCAGCGCGTTCATATGTCCCGGAAAATGTTGCCTTCTATCAAAAAGCGCAAGATAGAATATCTTGGCCACGTGCTCAGGAACAACAGATACATGCTGCTCCAGTTGATAATCATGGGCAAAGTGGACGGAAAGAGACGTGCTGGGCGAAGAAAAAAGTCATGGCTCCGGAATATCCGGGAGTGGACCGGTATTGCCTCCGTCGAACAGCTGTTCCGGCTGGCTGCTGACAGAACTACATACAGAAAGCTAACGGCCAACCTTCAGGATTGAAGAGGCACTGGAAGAAGAAGAGAAGAATTCTTATAGAACTGCAGGTTTACGTTATATGCATTTGTAGTTCGCATGATTCACGTAGAAATCGCGTGAACTTTTGCCAGACTTCCCACGTCGGAACTGAACATCCCATGCTCACTCGAAGAAAATTGTTCGTTCGTTATTCAGTTTTATATTAATAATAGCACCGTCAGTTATTATATCAAAGGTTATTTAATTACAAATAATAATACTAGTGGCCGCAATTTGGCTATCTTTCTGCTGAAATTAGACCTTTTTATTAAGTTTCTACTTCTATAAATCGTTTGACACACAAACTCTTGCTAGTGTGTCTAATGTAGTTTTTATTAGTGTGAATAATTTTGATATTGGAATGGTAAACTATACCGACCATTGTATACAGTAGATAATATTTCAATATTGTGATCGTAGCAATTAACACTTTATACAGCTCTATTTATATTGCTTAAATATGAGTACAATATGTCCGCTGTATTAGTTAAGGCAGGCACGTGTATAATCTCATGAAATCGCATTTATGTAGGTACATACTTAGGATAGGATCGAATACGCTCAACAAGATCAATTGTTTGTAGTGAAGTCATAAAAATTCCAGCTCATAACATAAACTTAATCAGCAAAGGTTCAAAATCTAACATTGTTTTTCTCTCGCTCGTTTCCAGAAAATCTCGATTCCGGCTCCTGCCAATGGCAATGGATCTACAGGCGAGGCTACATTTCACTTCAGCGTCAACAGTAATGCAGAGATGGAGGGTCCACAGGTAAAATTTTCATCGAGAACAAAATATGATATAAAAAGTTTTGTTTTGTCTAGACCCCTACTGCATTATTACAAAACGCAGAATAAAGTTAAACCTGGACTTAAACTGATGCTGTCACTTTTGTTTGTCTAAAAGAAGACAGACAACATTATGTTTATACCAACACTAATATTAGTCCACGTTTTGATATAAGGTGGCTACAATCAAAGCTTCCAGCCCGCAACAGACTCAATATATAATCTAGCTCACTCACAAGCAAATTATCGTTAGCTTACTTTATTTTTCATTCTATCAAATGGCTTTATCCTCTTCTAAAGTAGAGTACTGTTAGTTTACTGTTGGTAAAATTAAAGCAAATAATAAACATGTGTGCATAGCTGGCACTTCATATAGCTATAAGTATTTGCCTACACTAAGTTTGATAACAGGTTCTTCTTTTTCTTTTAGAGCTATAGAGCATAGTGAATACAAATAGACACGTGAAGTACAACCACAATAAAACATGTATGATGTAAAAATATTTTCTTTATCTGGCCCCTCATTTGAAAAGTTTGCCTACCACTGGTCTAGTCTGTATACATGGAACTATTACAAAGTATTTGCTCCGTGGTAAAGTAACGCACGACAGAACATCCAATAATGCAAATGCAAGTCGAACGCGTTCCTCTATCTAGGCTCATTCCATAGACTGCCAGTAACTGTGGTCTTTAAACTCCATTGCATGTTCGACGAACATGAACATTGTTCATGTGTGCTAAAGAGCATTAACAACAAAAATGTTCTTTAGCGTTCATGGAATTGCGGAAAGAGGATTTTGTTTATTTGTAGGTCGAAGTTTATTTCCATTTAAGAAATGTTTCTGTGTAATATAATGCAAGAATTCACATTTATCGCTTCATAATTCATACTTACATGAAATATTTTTAAATTTTCATTTACGTATTTTTGTCAATTGTATAACAGCAAGAATATTTCAATATCAAATAAGATATCAACTTAATGTTACGATTCTAATGTTATATTCGTCGATGTGTCGTACAGAATATTTCGCACTCTTACTTCCTAACAAGTATTCGATCAACATTTTGCGGTGGTTTCGCTCTCGTAAAGGTAAACATTGACATTAAAACTTCAAGGCCAAGAATATATTAAATGTAATATAAAGATGCCTAAGAATAAAAATAGCAGAACTAATGAGAATGGAAGTTTATTGCTTTCCTCCCTGTACTGTCAGCAGCTGTAAAACTTGTTAAAGTAGGAAGCATTTAGCGAATTTTGCACGGTAATATTATTTTGCATCAAATTAAAACACTGTGCCAATAATAAAGGAAGGTACCTAATTGATTTCTTCCAATGTGAATTAGGTTTTCTTATCCTTATTATGTATTAGATTAGAAAAAACTACAGCTAATTGTCACTTTCGTTACGCATTGAACTTATGATACCTACTAAAATTACGTATTATTACTAATAATTAATTAAAATGCGATTACAATGCATCTTTCTTTATTGTATTTCTTAAATAAAATAAGTTTCAACGGTATAGATGTACTGATTTATTTATTAAGGTATGTAGTTTGACATCATTGATAAATAAAATATCTTAAGTGTTATATATACTTAGTGAAAGATAATACTCATTTAAGATCTAAAAATAATCGCTTAAAGAATTGACTCCTTGCAATATAGAGCCAGTAATGTCATTAAATCAAAAGAAAATTTTCGTAAATACCTACGAGATACTTACGAAGATCAGATTGACCGCATCTTTATGTTATAAACCCCACTCTTTACAGATAGTTACATTAAAACCAGTTTGAATAATTCATCTTTATTCTGTTTTCTTAGTACAGGTATTCCCCGACTACAAAATTAAAAAACACCGTGAACCCAGAATCTGCTTTATTACAGAGAGAGCGATAAGTTCGCGTGGAAATATTATACTTTACCGACAACACAGTACCTTGCTATTAATTCTATTCTTATATCATATGCAAGTCTTGAAACAAACAAGAAAAAGTGATAAGAAGAGACGTGTACTCAGTGAATTACTTTGTTATAAAAAGTATACCTTGGTCACTTAAAATAACATCAAGCTACTCTCAAATTCTCAATTACAGATTAGTTGAATGTCAAAATACGTAACTTCATTTAGGTAACATATTTTCGCTTATCGCTCTTTGGTGTTATTGTTACATGGATTATGCAGTCAACACACCTGTTTTGTAACGCAAGTCAGATGGCTCCTCTGTCAACTATACCTATAACATGTTGTGACGACTTAGTAAAAATATTTTGTTTTAATGCTGTTTGTAATAAAATTTACAGTAGTTTTCGGTAAGGTGGCTTACCTTTTAATAATACGTGCACGCTTGCCAGAAAGCGGTCACGCTGGATAACTTTAGGCCGAATTGGTCAGAGCAAACTTAAATATGGACCGCACGGTCTATGGCCTGAATATTTTGATTGGGTGGTGTCAGTTGACGTCTTCAGTGTGTCATTAAGCTAAAACAATCTTTATAGTTTGTATTACCGAAGATGATAATAAATTGTTCAATCCTTATCACCGTATTCACGTTTCGATAAACTTTTGTATCTTGGTATCGACGTCAACAGTAGAAGCTATTTATATATTTCTTTTGCGAAAAAGGTGGCAAACAAGATAATGATGCTTGTGATTTATCAAGGAACTAATCAATGCCCACCCTGACCTCATCATCATACACCTCAGTGGAGACCAGGCTACCTTACAACAGAAACACAACATCACGGTAAAGTGTTACTCGACTGGCAGTCTTCACTTCTGTAAGATGAATGCGAGCGCAGCAATCGTTAAATTCTATGAAGTTCATTTTATTTTCTCGATTACTAGTAACAAGCTACAGTAATTACAATAACTTTCTATTGTAAGTAGATCTCCTCAGCCTCCACCCCACAATAGCGCCGAGCGTCTCTTTCTTGAGGTAACTCTGTCCCATACTAAAGTCCTCTTATGTGTATTTTATAGTCCCTCTCTTCGCATCGACTACTTTGAGTCTTTCGAAAATCTCCTTGAAAATTTCGTACCTTCTTACACTCATACTATAATAATGGGTGACTTTAATACGTGTCTTATTAAAGATGACTTTCGCTCAAAAAAACTTCTTTCAGTAGTTAACTCTTCTAATCTGCATGTCCTTCCTTTGAGCGAAACGCATCATTTTCCTAATTGTACGCCCTCTTTACTTGACCTTATTATTGTCTCCTTCCCGTCCTTCGCTGTTAAGCATGGTCAATATTCTGCAGGCGCATTTTCATATCACGACCTGGTGTACCTGTCTTATCGGATTCGTCCTCCCAAGATTAAACCTACAGTGCAACTTCAGCGTAGCTTTGCGCATATAGACCATGACCAACTACTTAAAGATGCTGCTAATACGGACCGGTCGGAATTTTTTGCTACTGATTATGTGGATGAACAAGTGCAACTTTTTAATAAGCTTCTGACTGATTTGTACGACATTCGTGCACCAATCCGACCCATTAAAATTAAGTCTCTACCTGCTCCTTGGCTCACTGAAGAGATTCGACGGTTGATGAGTAAAAAAAACAGGGCAAAGGCAAAGTTTAAACTTGATCCTTCAAATAACAACGAGGCTAAATACAATCGTGCTAGAAACTGGTGCAACACCGTGGTCAGGGACGCACAAAGATGCCACATTCATAAATCAGTGGAAAATGAAGACCCCGGGAAGGTTTGGAGATTCTTGAGATCAATGGGAGTTGGCAAGTCACGTAGGTCCAATCCCTGTAATAATCTTGATGTTGATCAACTTAACAGTTATTTTTCCTCTACAATCTCTATTGGTGAGAAACGTAAGCGTTTAACCTTACGTAATCTTTCTAATCTGCCAACTCTTGATCCTCCCTTTGTCATACATCAATTTGCGGAATGTGATGTTAAGAGGACTATCTTGTCGATTAACTCCAGTGCGGTAGGCAGTGATTCAATCAGCCGCAAAATGATCCTGCCTATTATAAATATCCTGATTCCTGTAATCACAACCATTCTTAATACTTCAGTTTCTACTGGAGTTTTCTCTTCTTCCTGGAAAGACGCCAATGTGATTCCTCTCCCTAAAAATTCAAATCCCACCTCTTTTCGGAATACCGTCCCATATCCATTCTTCCGTTTTTATCAAAAGTCCATGAAAAACTAATATCCCGGCAGCTCACTGCTTTTCTCAATTCGAACCACCTCTTCAACTCTTTTCAGTCTGGCTTTCGTAGGGGCCACAGCACTACTACCGCACTGGTTAAAATTTCGGACGATATCCGCCGAGGAATGGATAAGCGGCAACTTACGTTGTTGACGCTGCTTGATTTTAGCAACGCCTTCAACTCAGTCGACTTTGACATCCTTTTAGGCGTTTTGGGTTCACTTAGCATATCTCCATCCGCAATTGAATGGTTTCGAAGTTACCTGCTAGGCCGCCGACAGCGTATCCGTATTGACAACACCTTGTCGTCATGGTGTGATATCAATGCCGGTGTTCCTCAGGGTGGCGTCCTATATCCTCTTCTATTTTCTATAAAGATAGAAAATAGAAGAGGAGATAGGACGCCACCCTGAGGAACTAAACTCTATCACACTGTCACTTTCATGTTCATATCACCTTTATGCTGATGATCTCCAGATATACACTCAGGCCCCTTTATCTGATCTCTCTAGCGCAAGTTCTGATATCAATACAAATTTGTCGCTTATAAGTGGTTGGAGTGAGTCATTTGGTTTTACCTTAAATCCGGAAAAAACTCAATCCATCATAATTGGTAGTCCTTATTTTATTTCCAGGATCGACTTTAATCATTTGCCTTCCATTATTTTGAATGGTTCTATTATTCCCTACTCAGAAACCGTCAGAAACTCTTTGACCAGAGTTTCACCTGGAAACTACAGGTGGAGGTGGTCAGAAAAAAGGTGTTTGCTGCTTATGGTTCCCTTAGTCGTTTGCGGAACT